ACCCAGTGGGTGAAGGTTGCTGTGGGGGCCGCTCTCACCCCTCGCGGCGCTAGCTGCTTTGCGAGCGCACGCCCAGAGCTTGCTGGAGTTGCCGGTGCGGCCCTGCGATGCCAGCGACGGCGTCGAGCCACCGCAGGAGAACTCCGAACGGCGCCGCCGCAGTGGCCTCACAGCGGCCTTGACGGTCTATGCCCACGACTTTTTGGTGCGGACGGAAAAAGGTGTTTGGACAAAAAACCAATGTTTGCTGTTGCCGTTGCGTTGTAGTGTTATGCTGTCGCGTGTTCCTCGGTGGATGGTAGTCCTTTTCGCCAGGTAAGGCCGGACATGCTGACCAAATGAGGGGGGTGATGTCAAAATTGCATGAAGAGCTGGCCGTGTATGTGCGAAAAACATTGCACAAAGATTGCTTAATGGGAAACATATCCACAAAAATGAAAAACGGATATGTTTCAACAATACGATGATTTGAAATCGCTAACGATCACTCGCGTGCTTGGTTCAATCCGAAATAATTCAAATTCTTGCCGGTGACAGAGTTTGTGCAATCATGTGTGTGTGTGTGTGTGCTGCAAACTGTGATCAGCGCATAATGGGGGTCTCCATCATGTTGCAAAGCATGCAGTGATGTCCATGTGGTCGGAAAAGTTATGCATTTGCTTTAGCACATGCAGCAATAAGGTTTCCGAGAATTACTAGAATTACAGTTAAAGTGCGGAAGCAAAGCGTATCGCCACGTGAACACGAGACTCTGAACATGTTGCCTTAAGCATGCTTTGTGCCGACGAACCATTCGTTTCGTCCGAAGCTTGGTACCGCAGTTCGCTACATTTCATGATTTTCGCCTTGTCCCCGCATGGTTCGATATTAAGGCCGGCTGTTGGCAAAGCCAGATGAAGTCCCAAGGCGCAGATGGATCGGACACCTTGTGAAGTTGCAGACATGCAAGCAAGCATTCCAAGGAATCATCGTGCTTTTCCTGATCATTTCGGCGAATGCCTTTGACGACCAGTGCAGTTACGTGCTGCTGGCAATGTTTGCTTTGCAAGTGCTTTTTGTGCTAGTGGTGTCAAGTGCGGCTTCCCTTGCCAGGTCACTTTGTCGCAAGATTGTACATTGGATGGCGGAATCTTGATACGGGAGCTGCAGCCTAACGAATGCATCTTTGGTGCACAGCTTGGGCAGCATGTTCGTTGAGCATACTTAAACTCTTAAAGCATAGTGTGGTCGAATGGTGAACGGTAGATTCTGGAGTGCTACCAACGTGCGGCTGAAGCACGGAGAAACAAACGTTCGATGGCTTGCTGTTTGTGTTTTGTGGCTTGCAAGGCACAACTACGACAACGACAAGTTCTGGCACTACAAGAACTAGCACGAATAGCCGAACCTCTTCGACGACCACCTCCTCATCCCTGACCAGGTCTTCCACGTCGAAGACAGGAACAACCAGCACCAGTTCTAGCCGAACCTTGTCGACCACAACGCTCACAACCACGTCATCGTCCTCAATTACTCGGACGTCCACGTCACGCAGCGAAACTTCGAGCAGTACCTCGACCAGTAGCACCAGCAGCAGCAGCTCCGTGACCACCAGCTCCAGCAGCACTAGTTCCACCTCCAGCACTACCAGCACGGCATCCAAAACTTCAAGCACGTCTTCAACAGAGACCAAGACGACCTCGAGCAGCACATCCACGGAAGGAACATCAATAACCCTTACCTCTACTACCACTTCGACACTCACATCCAGTACAGGAACCACTAGCAGTAGCACCAGCAGCAGCAGGACGAGTAGCAGCACTACTCACACCAGCACATCCAGCTCCAGTACCTCGAAGACAAGCTCCACAACGTGGACGTCAAGCACGTCTTCAACGTCAACATCTTCAACATCAATCTCGTCCACATCAACCTCCAGGCTGGGCCGGAATCTGAACCGTTCCGCTAGGAGGGAATGGGTGGGAACGGAGGGAATCAGCAGGTGCAGAACTTTGCTTGCTGCAGTATGATAGGCCCTGCACAAAGCCAAGATGATGGATCATGAAGCCTGAACAGCCGGTAAGCAACAACTAAGCCGCACTTTTGCGCCAGTAACCCGGTGCATCCGTGCATCCCGCCCCTCCCAGTCGGTCCCATCTTCCCTTTCCTCCCATCCTCCCGTCCTCGCATCGTCACATTCTCGGCGCTCAGTCCCGCCCTCCCGTAGCCGCAGTTCAACTTCTTCTACTTCTAGCACATCGAGGAGCAGCACGTCCAGCTCAAGTTCATCCAGCTCGAGCACAACAGAGACGACCACATCCACATCAAGCACAGCCAGCTCGACGACGAGCACATCCAGCAGCAGCAGCAGCACGTCCACGACCAGCACGTCGAGCAGCAGCACTTCCACTTCCAGCACCTCTAGCAGTACGACCAGCACTTCCAGGACCAGCACATCGAGCACAAGCACATCAAGCACGAGCACATCAAGCTCTACGAGTTCCAGTAGCAGCACGTCAACCTCCAGCACATCCACAACAAGCACATCCAGCAGCACCAGCAGCACTTCAACTACCAGCACATCCAGTTCGACCACGTCCAGCACGACCTCATCCAGTTCAACCAGCTCCAGCACCAGCACGTCAACCTCCAGCACATCCACAACAAGCACATCTAGCAGCACCACGAGCACATCAAGCACCAGTACATCCAGTTCGACAGCGTCTAGCACAAGCACATCCAGTTCCACAAGCTCGAGCAGTAGCACCTCAACCTCCAGCACATCCAGCAGTTCCACCAGCTCGTCGAGCACGAGCACATCCAGCACAAGCACATCTAGTACTAGCACATCCAGCACAAGCACATCAAGCACGAGCACGTCAAGCTCTACGAGTTCTAGCAGCACCACGTCAAGCTCCAGCACATCCACAACAAGCACATCCAGCAGCACCAGCAGCACTTCAACTACCAGCACATCTTCCTCCACAACGTCGACTAGCAGCACATCCAGTTCAAGCACTTCGAGCACCAGTTCAAGCTCGACCAGCACTACCTCGTCGAGTACGAGCACTACCACCTCATCTACATCGAGCACGAGCTCAAGCACATCCAGCTCGACTTCCTCTAGCACGAGCACGTCGAGCTCCACCACCACAAGCAGCAGCACTTCGACTTCCACGACATCAACTACCAGCTCCAGTACAAGCACAACAACTTCCTCGAGCAGCAGCACATCTAGCAGCAGCACGTCTACATCTACTACTTCTACTACAAGTTCGAGCAGCTCTAGTACCAGCAGTTCCAGCACCACCACATCTAGTTCCAGCACCACAAGCAGCAGCACATCCAGTTCTTCTACTTCAACCACAAGCTCAAGTACATCAAGCACCACATCTTCGAGCACGAGTTCATCAAGCAGTAGCACTTCCACATCATCTTCATCAAGCAGCAGCTCGAGCACATCAAGCACAAGCTCGACTAGCACGAGCACCTCGAGCACCAGCACATCTAGTTCAAGCAGTTCCAGCAGCAGTACAACTACCAGCACAACGAGCACATCTAGCACGTCTTCGACGAGTACGTCGAGCAGCACCACCTCCAGTTCAAGCACATCTTCCAGTAGCACAAGTTCGACCAGCACAAGTTCATCAAGCACAACCTCTTCCAGCACGAGCACATCTTCTTCTACCACTTCACGCAGCAGCACGTCGAGCAGTACGAGCAGTACTTCCAGCAGCACCACCAGTACCTCAAGCACGAGCACGTCAAGCTCTACGAGTTCTAGCAGCACCACGTCAACCTCCAGCACATCCACAACAAGCACATCCAGCAGCACCAGCAGCACTTCAACTACCAGCACATCTTCCTCCACAACGTCGACTAGCAGCACATCCAGTTCAAGCACTTCGAGCACCAGTTCAAGCTCGACCAGCACTACCTCGTCGAGCACGAGCACTACCACCTCATCTACATCGAGCACGAGCTCAAGCACGTCCAGCTCGACTTCCTCTAGCACGAGCACGTCGAGCTCCACCACCACAAGCAGCAGCACCTCGACTTCCACGACATCAGCTACCAAGACAAGTACAACTACGATTAGTTCTTCGAGCACGAGTACATCAAACACGGTAGGCAGTACGACGACAGCCAGCACCACGAAGACCAGCACATCGAACACAGTCACATCTACAACCAGTACGACAGCGACGAGCATTTCCAGCACTGTCACATCCATAACCGTGTCCAGCACGTCCCTCACCGACACGACTACAAGCAGCACTTCCAGCAGCACAGCTTCAACGAGCAGGACGACACGAACCAGTACCAGCACATCCAGGACAGCCACCACAACTTCAAGCTCTAGTGCAACAACATCAAGCACATCCAGCGCAACAACATCAAGCTCGATCTCGACCTCGTCCACTTCAAGCACAACAAGCAGTAGCACGTCCAGCTCAAGTTCATCCAGCTCGATCACAACCGGGACCACCACATCCACGTCAAGCACAGCCAGCTCGACGACGAGCACATCGAGCAGCAGCACCACCACCTCCGGGACCAGTACTTCGAGCAGCAGCACGTCCACTTCCAGCACTTTTAGCAGTACGACCAGCACTTCCAGCACCAGCACATCGAGCACAAGCACATCAAGCACGAGCACATCAAGCTCTACGAGTTCCAGTAGCAGCACGTCAACCTCCAGCACATCCACAACAAGCACATCCAGCAGCACCAGCAGCACTTCAACTACCAGCACATCCAGTTCGACCGCGTCCAGCACGACCTCATCCAGTTCAACCAGCTCCACCACCAGCACGTCAACCTCCACCACATCCACAACAAGCACATCTAGCAGCACTACTAGCACATCAAGCACCAGTACATCCAGCTCGACAACGTCTAGCACAAGCACATCCAGTTCCACAAGCTCGAGCAGCAGCACCTCAACCTCTAGCACGTCCAGCAGTACGGCAAGTACGACGAGCACGAGCACGGCAAGCTCTACGAGTTCCAGCAGCACCATGTCAAGCTCCAGCACATCCACAACAAGCACGTCCAGTAGCACCAGCAGCACTTCAACTACCAGCACATCTTCCTCTACGACGTCCACTAGCAGCACATCCAGTTCAAGCACTTCGAGCACCAGTTCAAGCTCGACCAGCACCACCTCGTCGAGCACGAGCACTACTACCTCATCTACATCGAGCACGAGCTCAAGCACGTCCAGCTCGACTTCCTCTAGCACGAGCACGTCGAGCTCCACCACCACAAGCAGCAGCACCTCGACTTCCACGACATCAACTACCAGCACCAGCACAGCCACGACAACTTCCTCGAGCACCGGCACGTCCAGCAGCAGCACATCTACCGCTACGAGTGTAAGTACAAGCTCAAGCACCTCGACCAGCAGTACCTCCAGCACCAGCAGCTCCAGCACCACCACATCCAGTTCCACCACCACGAGCAGCAGCACATCCAGTTCCTCCACTTCAACCACAAGTTCAAGCACATCAAGCACGACATCTTCGAGCACGAGCAAGTCAAGCACCAGCACTTCGACATCGTCTACCTCACAGACAAGCACGAGCATTTCTACAACTAGCTCGACGAACACGGGCACGTCGCAGACCACGACCAGTGCCACTTCAACATCAACCACCCAGTCCAGTACATCAACAAGCAGCAGCTCGCAAACCACAACATCCAGTTCGAGCATAACAACTACGAGTACGTCTACAACCAGCACATCAGCCACAATCACTTCTACGAAAAGTACCACGGTGACTAGCACCTCCAGCACTGTTACATCCATCACGGTGTCCAGCACGTCCGTCACAGGCACGACTACCAGCAGCACTTCCAGCAGCACAACTTCAACGAGCAGGACGACAGGAACCAGCACCAGCACATCCAGGACAGCCACTTCCAGCTCTACCACCACAACTTCAAGCTCCAGTGCAACAACATCAAGCACATCCAGCTCAACAACATCAAGCTCGAGCTCGACCTCGTCCACAACAAGCAAAACAAGCAGTAGCACGTCCAGCTCAAGTTCATCCAGCTCCAGCACAACAGCGACGACCACCTCCACGTCGAGTACAACGGCTTCGACGACGAGCACGTCGAGCAGCAGCACCAGCACCTCCACGACCAGCACGTCGAGCAGCAGCACGTCCACTTCCAGCTCTTCTAGTAGCACGACCAGCTCATCCAGCACAAGCACATCAAGCACGAGCACATCAAGCTCTACGAGTTCCAGTAGCAGCTCGTCCACTTCCAGCACATCCACAACAAGCACATCCAGCAGCACCAGCAGCACGTCAACTACGAGCACATCTAGTTCGACAACATCCAGCACGACATCATCTAGTTCAACCAGTTCCAGCACCAGCACGTCAACCTCCAGCACATCCACAACAAGCACATCTAGCAGTACCACCACCACATCAAGCTCGAGCACATCCAGTTCGACAACTTCAAGCACCAGCACATCTAGTTCAACCAGTACGAGCAGCACCACATCAACCTCCAGCACATCCACAACAAGTACGTCCAGCAGTACCACCAGCACATCGAGCACGAGCACATCCACGTCGACCTCGTCAAGCACGAGCACCTCCAGTTCCAGCACATCAAGCACGAGTTCGATCACGTCATCTACAAGCTCTTCCTCTTCCAGCACATCCAGCAGTAGTTCGACCACGTCTGTATCCAGCACATCCAGCACGAGTACATCTAGCACCAGTACAAGCACGACGACTCCTGTGCCATCTTGCTGCTTGGCAGGCACAGCGTGATCTGAAAAATACCATGGTTGCTGCTAGCACTAAGGTCGCAAGTACATGGCTGGGGTGCCTTTGGTCCCTGGCGCGAACCAGGCGTCTTGCCATCCCTACAGGAAATCGCGTCAGGGTGCCCAGGCAGGGACAGAATTGCAGAGTAAATGATCACACCAAGGTGATGACCTGCCAGGGTGCCCAGGCAAACGATTGGTGTCTGGCTGATTCGAACACACACCCAGAAGGCCATGCTTCCTGCGACGCCCGGTTACCACTTGTGTTATAGAGCAGTTGCTGTGCTTGTTAAAAAGCTGCTCCTCTCACGACTTTCCAACACCGAGGACGACTCCGCCTCTGCCAGACTCTTTTGTCCGATTCGAGGGGAAAGCAACTCCAGTGACGAGTCCATAAGCACATGCCAAGCATGTGCCACTGTGGTCGCTCAAGATTGGGATGAACATGGCTACAAGCTTTTTGGTCACTCGCCTTCCATGGGGCAATGTTTGGCTTTTGGACAGAATGCATCGAAGTTTTGCAGCGGCAGGTGAAATTCGCTGGGGTCCTACGGCAGCCTGCCAGGCCAACGAGTCCACCATCGAGGGCTATCGAGCCACTTGGCAGCCTTCAGCACCGCCTCGACAGCCTGGAGAAAGGCGGAGTGAGAGGACGAACTAGGAAGTGACAGAGGGCAGCGACGGAACAAGTCGGGCAGTGTACCCAGCTCTGGTTGAAGGAGAAGCATCCCCTCGTAGGATGTATCACATTGTAGGTCGCTGAGTTTGGTTATAAAGTCATGGCGCCGCCTTGAGCTTCCACAATGTTTCCAGTTTTTTCGTTTTCCTAGGCGTTCATCGCATGGGGATTGCACATATCTGTCCATGCCCCCTGTGCGTCACCAGGTCACTAGGCCTGTTGCTGAACTGCAGAGCAGAACCGACAGGTCTGGTTTGTCGATGCGTGTGGTGTGAAACTGAATCTGGTGGGCAGCGTCGGCACGAGACAACAGGCAACTTGGGCAAATTTGTAAGTTGCGCAGCTGTGCATGCAGCTGATAGGGCTGATAGGGGTCTCGTCCATCGAGTCCATTGTTCACCGGAAGCGTCGGCTTGTTTCCACATCCCCGCAACTGTGGCTGGAGCTGCGCTGCTGCTGCTGCTGCTGCTGCTGCTGCTGAGCATTCCCACGATCGGCGGCAATGCAGTGGTTTGTATGTTGACATGCCAGGAGTGGCAATCGGAAATGATGGAATGCAGCTCGGAGAAAGCCCGAACAGGGGTCACATAAATGCAAGACTTAAAGGACTTGAAGCTGACGGCTCATCGTGCTGAGGCTGTCATCCATCCTGGTATTCATTGGACCTCGGCGAGATCGCAATGCCGGCAGTTGCCTTGCTGCACATGGCTGCAAATCTAGCGCTTCGAGCCTGGCTGCCTCACAGGCCACGGTGGGCCTCACCATCCTTCCTTATCAGGCACGTGCTGTGGGCAGTAATCCAACTCTTGCAAGGCCTACGGCTTACGATGTCAGCTTTTCAAGCTTTTAGACTCTCGGTCCCGGTTATGCAAGATCCCAGAAGCCGTTTCGGGCCAATCTCGTGCCCATGCCAAGTGTGCCGGAACGGAGAACAACCTATTGTCAACTTTATCTACCCTTCTCTTCTCTTCCTGCTTGGTCTGTCTTCTGCTTCACTGGAGAGCTCTTCTTGTCCGGATCGATTGGTGTTGTCGGTCTTGGCAAGCACTGTGCGTCTCTTCGCTTCCGGTTGGATGCATTTCTTCTGGGAATCCTACCTTTTTAGGTATGTTTTCGTTTTTATTTGGGTATTTTTTTTTGTTTCTGGCTTTTGATGGCTTTTGGCTTCTCGGCTTTTCGGCTTTCCTTGCTGGTTTGCTCTGCTATCTCTTTTTTAGCTTCTTGGTCCGGGCTTCTGGGCTTCGTATTTGGATCACATTCTAACTTCTAGGCTTCTGGGCTCTCCTTCTTGGCTTTCCAGCATCTGGGATTCCTGGCTTCTCGGCTTCCTGGCTTCTTGGCTTTGCAATACATTTATGCATGTCCTGCGAAACGTACAATAAATTCTATGAGGCTTTATATGGTGTATTTACGTAGTATGCATGTATGTATATACATATATACACATACATCTCTTTCTCTTTCGTGGCGTTGAGTCAAAGTTTGACGCAGCCGATGCTTGCACCTAATTAAAACTTGGGGATTGGCTGGAACAGAAATCTGGACTTGAAAGCATAAACCGTCGCCCAGTTTGCACTCAGCCGGTGGGCATGGCAGAAGGGATTTAACCGGCGCAACTGCGAAAAACCGTCCCTCAACAGCCTTAGCCCACCAAACGAAACCAAAATCACAACACTGACTAAGTCAGTGCGGCAGTATGCACTCACCCCCACTATGCGAGCTGGTGCAGAAATCTGCCGGTTCAGCGGAACATATACAAGCAAACGTCGTCTGCAAAATCGCACCTGTGCCAGTCAGGCCCCCCATGAATGACCACGAAAGGGCATCTCTGTATGACATTACTATAGTACATAATGCAGCGGGCCATGTGTGTACTGTGGAGTACAACAGACGTAACCAACATGGCAACCAGATTAGGGACAACCATATTGATCGCGACCAGTTGAAGGCGGACCAATCCCGTAAGGATGACCGTTTCAGGGATGTAGTCCACAAGCGGATGCAGTGGTATGGCACCAGATTCGTACGGAACTCGATGATGCCAACTTTCATTCAACTCTCCGTCCAGCAGCATGCGCTCCAGCAGCGGATATCCAAAGCCAGGTCCGGAACCTCTAGCATGCCTCAAACTTGCTGTGCTGCAAGCGTTACCTACGCCGAGCGCTCCGTAGCTGTCGGCCAGCTGCCTGACGAGTCGACCAAAGACCGAAACAACGATCCTGCCCTCAATCGCATCCGGTCCTTGGGCCAAACAGTCAGTAGCAGCTTCCGTACTTGCAAAGAGCAGGTCTGACAAGAGAAGCAACCAGTAATTTCCTGTGCACCTGTGGTCCACGACCGCATGCGCGAGAACCACGCAAGACAGATCAAAGGCATCATCGCCACCACCGCTGGTCCTGTAAAGCAGCTGTCCGTCGGGCGGGATGCCATGCCCGATGCAGAAAAGCTCCCAGCAGGCATCACCAACCGAACTCCCGACACAACTTGCAGAACCAGACGCCGTCTCTGGCAGAGGCTCCCACACTCCACGCCACACAGCGGAGATGCCCACTGTGTCAGGCAGCTCCGTGAACAAAACCATGCCCCTGCTAGCCATTGGCTCACCTGACTCAAGAAAGAAGGATTCCACAAAGTCAGGGCAAGTATGCTGGCGTGCATTCTGGCAAAGGCCACCAACAGCCTCCCCACCCGAAATGACGACCACACTGTCAATGCCATCTGGATCTACGCACGCAATGCATGTGTTCCCATCCGGGCAATCATGCCTCGCCGTCGTGGCATTCTCATCTCGGCAAAGCGTATTCCCACTCGGGCCATCGCAAAGCACATGATTGGCCGCAAGATCAGTTGAGCTAGTGTTGTCAAACCAAAGGATCCCTGCAGCGTCAAAGTCATTGCAACATGCAAACTCCGCGGGACCATCCTGCCACCGGTAACCCTTGACGTTGTAGTCTGCTGCCGGCTGCAAATCAACCCACGGGGCATCTTCCATAACACTCAGCGTTGTAGCACATGCACAGAAGTCCTTGTACCCTGGAAATGCAGTATGTCCCACCGTCACATCGCGGTAGCCAGGCCATGCACAACATCCACATGTCCGACATCTGGGCTGGAAACGGCGTGCTCCCTTCCCACCAGCCATGGGCCATATACCGAAGCACTGGGGTCTTGGGCAATACGGTGCGCTGTTGCACCGCTCGATCCCAGACCCTTACACATACATATAGTACATACACACCTACAAACATACGTACATAAGCCGAATGAGAGGCGCGTTCAAGATATACTGCTACGTGCACGTTCGAAACCCCAAGACTGCTCGGTTTGCCCGGCACCAGCACGCCCGTCTGGAGGACAACTCGGTGCTGCTTCTGCTGGAAACTCTTTTTGAAGGGCTGCCGCTTGCCACTCGCTTGTACCCAGGTTCATGGTTTTCGCTTCGTAGTCAGCGGAATGCCATTTTGAGACAGCTTGGCATCCCCTACTTGACAGTGCAGAAAGGTGTAACCCCCGGGTTGCTCCGCAGGAGCGGGGCCACGCACTAGTACCTTGAAACGGAGGAGGGTAGCTTGGAGGGGCCTGTGGTCCAAAACAAGAGACTTTGGAGTTTTACTTGCAGGAGGTTGCAGCTCAGGCTATCCTCCAGCGGTTGCTGCTTCTAGCCGAAACAAGATTTTCTGCTCTTTGTGCTCTCGCGGTGTCGCTTTGGCTTCCTTGTCGCCTGCGGCGAAGCATTCGAGAGGCGGATAGTCTTTGTGGTTCGGCCTTGGGTTTCTTAGTTGGGCCAGGCGCCTCCTTTCGGTTACCCATGTGCCGGCCCCGGCTTCAGCAGGCCTTCCTTTTGGACAAGACGTCCTTCAGAGCTCTTGCAGGGCGAAAAAGCGTGCTTGTGCTGTAGATATATGAGGAAGCGGAATCGCAAAACAGGGAACGGCTAAAGATACATGATGAACCGGGATCGCCAAACGAAGGGGCGTGTTTGAGGTATGGGATGAATCGGAATCGCCAATGAGGGGGCGTGTTTAAGATACATGATGAACTGGAATACCCAGAACAATGTGCTAAGTGACCCGGCACCCTCCGGATGGCCTCTGTGCAAGTTGGAGAGGGGAGCTTGCATGAGCACAGAGGCCGCTGGCAAATGTACACTCAGAAAGAAGTACGTAGAGAGTTTGCTTGAAAACTAGGAAAACAAAAAACATACAGGAAAAACAAAAAATTACAGAACCTAGTTTTGCATCCAATTTCTTCTGGCATGCAAAGCACTTCCTTAAACTGCAGATTGCCTGCATCGCCCAATGTGATGCCTTTTGGCAGGGTGGGACTGATCTGCCTGGACCAGTTCTGCCCATTTTTAGACGCTCCAACCTTGGCAAAGCTTTGCAGTTATTCAGCAGTTGGTTGCCAGTAAAATTCGTGAGTTTTGTGCCCATAAGCCAGTCCACACGAGGTGTGTTGACGACCACGACCACGTCCACCAGCTTTACTCTCACCACTACTACAACGGCGCCTTCGCTTTGACTTGCATGAGCATGAGCCGGTCATATTATCGCTTGAAACTGATCTCAAGATATTTCAGGGACTTACCTGCATGTGCATGCACTGGTCATATTGATATCCGTTGATATCCCTTCAAAGTTATTGCAAGGTGTTTGTGTGACTTGGCTTCGTAGCCTTCGATACTGAAGGGTTGCTATGACAGGGCAAGTGTGCATGGCGACTTGCAACATCTTGCTGCATTGCAAAACGTTATCGACACATGCAAACCTCTTGCTCCTGCTTTCACGAGGTTTCGAGTTCCACATCGTCAACGACGATATCGTGGCTCGTACGCGGACATGGTGAGCATGGCTTGAGTCTACGTACGATGCTGTCCTCGGCTAGAGAACGTGATCCTGAGGTCTTCGACAATAACGACCACACCAGGTGCAGCCACACTGGATGGTTGCTGGGGGCTTTCTGTCTCTGATGCGGCGTGGCTCGCCGACATAGTTTAAGTTTCCGACGATTCGCTCTCGCTTTGGCAGTTCTGCTTTCCGAGGACAGCAGCTGATACCCCAGAGTTCCAGGAGGCCTTGCGGCAGGTGTTGGCAAGGGCTGCCGGACCGGATGTGCTGCCGGAGTATGCCGCTGGTACTGCAACAGGATCAGGTGAATGCACGCTCGCTGCCATGCTTGCTGTGGATCAGAGGTCGTTGATCTGAATCTTGCTGCTGGCGCGGTCCTGAGAGTGTGGCGCGGGGAAGAGACGTAGGGGGTGAAGGAAAGGGAGAGAACTGTGCGGGTCAGTGCCCGTGCCGCAAATTTTGTGTGCAGGTTTATTTGCACTCCATCTGTCAGTAGATGGTCTGTTTAGGATGACAGTATGTAGACTGGCATCCTTCCTTGTTGTTTGTTAAGCACATTCCTCAGGGGTTCCGCGTTGGTTCACCGCTGACCTGTGCCCCTGGTTGGGGCCTTGCTTGTGCCGCTGAACTTGCCTCAGCTTTTTGCCCCTGTCGTCTATTTTGGATCTTGGACAATGCCTCGCAACGCTCAAACAACACCACCCTGTAAGCAAAACGATCATCTCTACGCTGCTCTCAATCGAAGCAGATGTTCTTGTGACTGCACCCCAGCCGAGCAGCTTAAACCGACCAGCGACCCACCGCCCGAACCCCAGACCCCCGACCAGAAGTCAAAAAACCCTTCATAAGAATCCCGAGGGATGAACCCAACGTGAACCTTACACCGCAGCCGCAAACCTTGAAGAGTGAACCCGAAGGAGTGTGAGCTGAGTCCCACAGCCTGGCATCAGGACCCAGATAACTGCAGAAGCACCGAAAACCCCAAAAGGACTGAAACCCTAGACTAGTGAACCTTGCACGGAAAGCCGAACGCAAGGACATCCCCGAGCAGCGAACCCAAGAACCCTCCCCTCCCTACACCGGAAGCCGAAACTCGAAAGCAGACGACAACCCTACGGATTGAATCCGAAGGAGTGAACTCAACCCCAAACCTTGCAAGGGAAACCGAAAGCCAGCGAAAGCCGAAAACTGGAGTGACCAGTACAGAAACCTAGAACCCTAAAAGGTCGACCAATTTTCACCGGAGTCAACCCCAACAGGAACAGCGGAGGGGCGGAAGCGACGGGTTTCAGGGGCCCAAGCGAGGCCCGAGCTCAGGGGCACAAGTCCTAAGTGAGGAATGTGCCTGTCTGCCTGTTCCCTCCAACGGTTTGTCTCAGAACCGGGGTTATGGGCACGAGTCGCACTCTCAGGGTCTAGGTAGAGGACGAACCTCAGCTCGTTTGCAAGCGGGCCAAGAACAGAGTAACAACCGCATGTTGTCAAATAGATTCGAACTTCTGGCACTACTGTATTGTGCCGCTTGTTATAGCTTCGACATACAGCAAGGCCGTATGCACAAGGACTTTTCCCCAGGTCGAGCATATACATCCCCGGGCCGAAAGTTTCGCGCTACATATGTAATATCAATATCTAACATGCACGGTCTTGCGGAGTAGCGGAGTACCTCAAAGTGTCGTTTACCCTATGCAGGGCAGCGGAGATTCTTCTACCTCGTTTTAAAATTATAATACATTTTAGCTCCGGAGGAGGCCCCAGGGCTCACATGTGTTAGGAGTCATCCGGAGGAGGCCCCAGGGCTCACATGTGTTAGGAGTCTATGGGGAAGAGGGTGGGGTAGCTGGGTATTGAAGCATGTTCCAGCCAGTGGGTCGAACTACTATATCGGCCCGGCGCAGTAGAGCCGATGTGAACTGGGATGTCCTCTGGTGCAAAATGTTCTCAGGCCTTGGCTGCGATGGTCGCTTGCTTTCAGGCCGTCGCCTGCAGCAAGCCCTGCGTGTGGACTACCTCATTGTGGCCTGGAGAAATGATGCTGAGTGATGTTGTGGCGGGTGGGTCAAAAGCACGATGATCGTTTTTACCTTTGTGTCGCTTGTGTCAGTCGTTTATGCAGGTTTTCCTTCTCGAATGCAAGTCACCCCAAAGCTCCGGCCCCTGCCCCTGCTTTTAGCCAAGGTCTTTCCGACATCACTTGGTCTTGAAGCAGCCGTTGTACTTGCGGAGACAAGCCAAAAAGGATTGGAGACGGTCTCGGTAGAGGCAACCTCCGCATGGCTGAAAGAAGAAGTCGCTCAGGTGGAGGCTTTGCAAAACTTGGAGGTTGCCGTGGCAACCAAGAGTGTCGCTCTAAGCTTGTCATCCGAAGCACAGCAGTTAATGCCAGAAAACAATGCTGATGGCACGGCTATTCGGCTCACTGTCGGGTCCGTCGCGATTCTCTTTCCGGCCTGCCTCCTCGTACTCTCTTGGAGGTGTGGGAAGCGGCTGGTGCGAAATGCAGCTATTTCGCAATCTTCTGACTTCAAACTGGAGGTGGAGGTTTACCCGGAAGTCGACATCCAGGATATCCGACGGTCAAGCCTTATGGACGACGAAGACTTCCGGTTGTCCGCTGGTGTGGAAGAGACTCCTAATCAGGATCTTGAGTGTCCAGCACCGGCAATAAAACCAAAGCGCATGGTGCCGAAAGGCCGCGTCGCGAAGAAAGCCTTGGCTGTAGCGGTCCTGGCAGAGGGGGCAGGCGAAAGGAGGCAGAAAGCTAAGCGTCTGGTGCCAAAGCAGAGAAGGGCCAAGAAGCAGCCAGAAGCGATTGCCGATGCCACCGAGCCCAGTGAGATCCAGATTAGCTTCGAGCCAGCATCCCAGAGTGGAATTTCCCGGTTCGACGACGACAACCTGTTGGAGCCGCCCTCTGCCTGGCTGACCGACGAGGAGGATGAGGAAGAGATGGCCATTTCCAGTGCGCTGGAGCATCCGTCACCCTCGGAGACAGAGGTAAGTACAAGAGTTAATGTCGAGTCAGCGCCACCGAAGCCTAAGAAGGTGAAAAAGCGTGCTGTGGCCAAAAAATCGAAGAAAGCTACAGCATCGGCAGAGGAGGCGCGCTTTGAGGGATCGGAGGACGAGGTGGTGTCGGCACCATCTTTGCCTTGGGAGGAGTTTCAGGATTCCGCCGTTAATTCCGCCGTTAATGCTCGTCCTCAAATGGCCAACAAAGATGACCCCCATGAAACATGGTAAGGTCGTCCTGGCTTTGTTTGAGACTTTCGGTGAATGAGTTTCTCTAGAATTGTGGGAAAGAAAGATGTCGTCTAGAGGGAGATGCAGTCCGACCTGCAGAGAAACTTTGAAATTCGAGCCGCTCGACTGCTTGATGGCGACCTATACTAGATTTGTCGGACGGCCCTCATCGAGCAGTTGAGCTGCCCAGCCCGTACACATCCACACATTAAGATTTATGCGACACCGCTTGCGCGATTTGCTGGGAAACATTGGGCGCGTGCAGTACTTTTGGTTGTGCAGAATTGCAACATGCCATCACAGTCCTGGTCCCTTTTTTGGTGCAACAGCTCAACTCGGAGACGTTTCGCTTGCGCAAGCCTTGGCTGTGGCCTTCAGCTCCGACCTAGTGTTGCTTTAGAGAAAGTGTATACAGTTAGCTCTAGCTCCTGCATCGACCTCACAGTCTACAAAGTTTGCTTTTTCTGGGAAAGCATAGACGCACTGAGCGTGGCATCAGAGACATGGCGCCCAGCGCATGGATGTCACCCGCACCCGCCTCATATGTACATGATGTCTCTTCGCTATGAACCCCATGCCAGTGTGCAGATTGTGCTGTTGCCGGCTGAGGCAGCACTACACTCAGAGCAGCTGCCTTCATCGAGCATGGAGCGGATTTGCCAGGCGAAAATCAAATACAGCAGCACCTCTGCAGTCATGTCAATGCGCGCACAGGTTCCCAGCCCTCAGAGAGTGGAACCGGACTGCGCGAAAGTGCTGCCCAGGCCCATGCAGCCGGGACTAGCAAACTGACAACCTCATCCGACGGGAGCTCATGCAAGGTGCGTGCTGCTGCCGGTGCCGGTCGTGAGGCGGATGTTGCTGCGGCAGTCTTCCGGCTAGCCCAGCAAAGCCTGGTGCCTCCCTTCACTGCGGATTCAGCAGAGGCGAGACGTTGTTGAGCGAATGCCTCCACTACCCCTGCTTCACCCACACCTTTGATCCCGGTTTCTGCAAGTTCGCTGCCGCCGCATGCGCTGCTGTGGCTGGCTTGTCTGATCCGGATCTACTTGGAAAGGCCGCCTTGCCATGCCTTTCAGCGGCATATGTCGGCTCAGAAATGATAGGAGATCGGGCGCTCTCACATCTTGCGGGTGCTGGAGGAACGCAGGGAGCAATTCGATCTGTGCTTGTGCTGCGATCTGGTAAAGCTTGCGAGACGAGAGATGGGCTTCGCGTGTGAGTTGAGCGACGGGCTGCACCTGCCGATTACCTACTCAGCCCGTTTCTTGGTGCTTCAGGGCACGTCAGGACACGCATTCCTTTGTGCCCCCTAACTGGAACTTGCATTGTTGTGGTGATACGGCTTGTGCTTCAGCACACAACCGGAAAAGGAAGGGGGGGAAAGGAAGGGACACAGCAAGGAGGGGGGCGGGCGACATCCTTCTCGGATGAGTGTTCCAGGAGGAAAGTTGCTCGGATCAGGTGCTCGGTCTTCGCAGTCGGTGAAATCCAATTCACGGACAAGCTAGCTTGGTGGGGTAAGGCGGCAAGAGGCAAGACATCATCTCCTGTTTCAAGCTGTACAGGCCACGGAGCTGCACATTTTTGGGGACCTCTTTTTTCTGACCCCCTGCATCTTTTTGTTGACCCCCAACCCCGGGGCAGCCCCGCCCCTTCCCCGTGCCGGCCCCAGTTTGCTTCCGATCTGCATTCCAACCCCCTATGTCTTTTTGCTGAACCCCTATGTCTTCCCTCAACCCCCCTAGATTTACCCGTATCGGTCAAACAAATGACATAGGGGGTCAAGAAAAAGACATGCCCCACATTTTTTGGCAGGAGTTGGCCAGGCATGTTGAGACATACCAGCCGTTCGTCTTCAGCTTCTTGTCGCGGACGGGTTACGGCCGGATCGCAGGCCGATCCGTCTTCAGGAGTGCTTGCGAAGCCATTGGGCCATGGCTCTTCGGGACAAGCGCCTTAGTTGGGCTCACGACCAGGTCTCGACGAGGTCGCCCGGCGGATGCAGGCCAGGATCGGTCTGGCCATGTCCTCTGCAATCTGCAACTCTGAGGTCGCTCTCTCTTCCAGCTCTGTTTGGCTTCTTGCAGCCTTTTGCCGAGCAGTTGGCTGTCGCCATTCGGCTTACTACGCTGACGAGTCATTCTGCGCTCGCACCCCACCGCCTAAGGCTGCTTCTCTTCAGAGATGCTTTGGGAATGGGCAAATGGCGATTCGCTGTTCATAGGGCTCCTGGTCCGAAACACCCTGACGCTGGAAGCGTTGCTTGGATGAAGAGTCAGTGAGGGACTTTTTGCCGGGAGGTGGACTGTGGACATAGCTGAGGCTTTCTGAATCGGTGCCGGAGACGCCGCTTCAGAGCCTGCTGATACCTCCCGATTTGAATGCTCTACAGACAGTGGTTGTTCGGGCATTTCTTGGACTCACCAGTGCGCGCTCTCAGAGCTGAGAGTGCAGTTTGCCACGAGCCTGCTGACGTATATACTAGGCTAAATGCGGAAAAGACGGCTGAGGACCTGACATCGCGTTTGCGGATGTGATTCCGACGCGTGTGGAGTATCATGGCACCCTCGAGGCGACCAGTGACCAAGAACCTGAGCAAATGCTTCATTCGAACTTCATTTCGTTGTTTCAATGGAGAACCTCGAAGTCTACAGCAGCCTGCTGGGTGTGAGCAGGTTCATGACTTCAGTAGTTATCACATCAATGTCACCATCACATGCAAGAGCACTACCACCAGAAGCAGGAAGAGCAGCAATGGAGGAGGAGGAGGCGGAGGCTGAGGGCGCTGGGGAGCAGGGCACGGATGAAGTTGCTGCGGCTGCATCAGCCGCGCACGAAGATTTAGGAAACTTTCTACGGATGGGCCCGGATGGGTATGCGGGCCGCTTCTCGAAGAGGTCAGAGCAACACCGCGTAGGCCGCAGGCCCGAGTCGGCTGAAGTTCAGTGACATCCCAAATGCTCGCAGTCGCGCGGTGTGAACAGCTCCTTGACCAAGCTCGGCTTCAAACCTAGAAAGTCAAACAAGCCTAAACCACACTAGTAGCTGCCCTGAGCTCGTCTTAAATCATTCCAACCAGGCCTCTTGTTCCAACAGACTGGAGATGTCCCACAATGGGGCCGGACAGCATCTGACGGGGTTCTGAACCATAAACTCCTACTCCTCTTGCGGACTCGGCACGACCGAACTTGTTGGTCATGTTGAACAATGTTGATCGCATCTTTTTCAGCTCGACTTCGTGCGGGCGGTTCCTCAAAAAACCTGCGACATCTTCATGTTCGAAGGCTGTGCTCTGGAAGGTTATGTCTTAAGCTTTCGGGGATCTTTGGACACCAGAAGCCGATCTGATGGAGGATGCTTTCGAAATTACAGGTTCAAGTTGCTGCATAGGTGCGAACAGGAGCACAATGCCTGCTCAAGCATGTGGTGGCTCGAGCAGGCAGCCTCTGTGCTGCACAGTGGAGTCGCTACTAACTGGTGGGGCTTGGGGTGTCCTTCTCATTGCTCGGGGTCCCTCTTGCTTACTTGCCTCTGCTTCCTTTGCGGGGTCTTGTGCGGGGTTGTTGCTGCTCTGGCTTTCTTCAGGGATTCTCTTTTCAAGGTCCCTTGCCAGGAACCGCTGCTTCGCCCCTCAGCTTCTCCTGCTTCTGTGAAGCGGCCTTCCAACCTTCGCCTCCGAGGCTACTTGCATGAGTGACCCTGCTTTGTCTGAGGCCATCAACAGTTTGGCTGACTCCCTTCAACAGCTCTCCTTGGCCATCCGACCCCCTTCCTCTAGCCCTAGGGGTTCTAGTGCGGGTTGGGTTTTGGTAGGCCCCGACTCCCCTGTTGAGCCAGGTTCCCGTGCGGCTCCAGGGCCCCTGGCTGTGCATCATTCCTTCCTGTCTCCTTCCGAGCTCACAGCTCGCTATAACTCGCTGGAGGCGAGCTTTCCTTCTGTGCCTGCTCGTTGTGTTCACGCTTGTCGCTCCCTCACCGGGTCCGGCTCTTCTCCCGAAGCCCGTGCTTCCAGCTTGGCTTGCGGGCCAGTGGGCCCGCCAAGTTCTCCTGGACTTCATCCCTACGCCAAGGCCTTCTTCCCGGCTCCCTTCCTCTCTCCGACCTCGGTTTTACATTGTGCTCAGGTGCGAGGGCGTGTCTTGCCCGGTTCGCTTCTCCTCCGGGAGGCTGTTCAAAGATTGTGTTGGCGCCCTCGAGGGGTCCGGCACCGTCTGCCAGGCCTTTGCTTCCCTTGCCGAGGCCGAAGTGTACTGCGAGGCCGCAGGTGTCGACCTTCTCTCCCAGGGGTCTCTCCGCTTCCTGGCCCTGTCTTGGGCCGAGGAGGGCCGCACTGCTCCTGTGCCCGAGGCCTTGGCGATACCGGTCATGAAGCGCCCTGGCGGGATCCTTTTGGCTTCTGTCTCTTGCGCTCCTCGACGAGGGTCTTTCTTCGGAGGATGGCGCCCTGGTGGGCCCGTCGGTGCAGCGTCGGTGCAGCAGGGGGCCGAACAACCTCTGGACTTGGAAGTGGCAGTGATGCTTGTGGACTTCAGCCCGGAGTTCTGGGCTTGCTTCGCGACCTCGGGGACGACCTTGTCTCGGAGAATGTGTTTCCTTACCACCTCAATCAGCCGGAGGCCACCCCCCTTTGCGAGGAGCTTCTTGCTGCAGCCCGGACTTGGGCACTTGAGGAACATGCCGACCGGGTTCACGGCCGCAGAGGACGCCGCTCAGGAGCCCGAGGTCCCTCTTCCTTCGCCTCCGAAGGGCAAGCGCGCCACGCCCAAGAGGCGGGTTACCACGGCGGATTTGGCGGCGCAGCTGGGCGAGTTGGCTGCTGTCCTGCCCCAGCTCACGGAGCAACTGACCACCACGAAGCAACGGCAGGAGAGTCTCAAAGCTGGAGCGCAGGCCGCTCCCTCTCCTCCCAAGCCGGCCCATCAGCAGCCCTTCCTTCCGGCAAGGGGCCCAGGTCTACCGACGGCAAAGTGCACAATGTTGGCTGGGCCTCCTCGGACACGGCCAGCCGCCGAAGCTGCTCTTCCTTTGCCTCCCCCAGGAGGAGGTGTTGGCGTGCTCCATCCGGGGCCCACGGCTGCCCCTCAGGATCCCTTTCAGGCGGCAGTGCTGCAACAGAGCCAGGCTCTTTCGAACTTGGTTCAGCACCTGGTGGCGCAACAAGACGGGGGCCTGGGGGACCTTTCTGCCTCAGGCTCTTCGTCTTATGTGGGTTCCAAGGGCGCTGCTCACCGAGAGAAGCTGCAGGCGGCCTTAGCGGCCAGGAACGGGGACTTCTTCCTCTCGGTGCTCCAGGCTGCCTCCCGTCGTCTCCGACCGTCCTCTCCGGTGCCCGGCTCTTTGCAAGATTGCTGCGGTCAGGTGTCGATGTGCCAATAGCTAGAGAGGTTCGGAGGCTACGCCCGGCGGGCAGAGGGAGACGGGATACATCCTGTGGTGCTTGGCACACGTGATGGACTGCCTGACGGAGCAGGACACCCTTGCGGCTCAGGAGTTCCTGGCGTTGACCTTTGTGGCGATCGACCAGGCTTCCTTAGACCACAACCGGTGGGACTTCGCCTGGCTTCTGACTCTGCTAGAGGAGCCGCCTGCTCAGCTTTTCCATGGGCGCGGGGCGGTGGCGAATCCCCGAACCAGGGCGTTCTCTCCATGTCCCCGGTGGGCTGGACCACCTGTGCTCTTCAGTACCTGAAGGAGGTGGATCTTATCACGACAAGGCGCTTGGAAAGCTTGGGGACCGCCAAGCCTCCCACCGGCACCCTCCTCCGGGCCTTCTTTCTGACTCCGGCACCTTGGGCTTCGACACCCGTGTCTCCTTTGCTTCGTGGTCTGGCGGCCTCCTTCGAGCCGTCCTTCGCACAAGGACATCTTTTGCTGCTTTTCTGCGTAAAACCCTGCACCTCCCCAGGCTCTCCGGGGGCTATCTTTCCTTTGCCTCTTCCCGTGGCTGGCGCTTTTGCCCGCTTCGGTTTGGAGCGCAGCTCCCGCTTTCGCAGGCGTGTTGCTCACCAGCGCTTGCTGCACTTGGTTTGCATGGCTTTGAACTTCCTGCACTCCAACTTTGTGCCAATCCCCCTTTCTGCGCTCCAGCGGCCCCTTCATGCAGCACAGCGAAGACTTGTCGCGCATGTGGGTCGTCATTTGAAGACCTTCGGTGCCTCAGTTGGCGAGTTTGTTCTCTCCGACTCCGGCCGCCGCAATCCCCAATTGATTGCACGCCTCTCTGAGCTAACGACCTTTCTTGCAGCCAGCTCGGCTGCCACGGGGGATGCTTACGCTGATCGCTCAGGCACTGCTGTTCCCATGCACAACGATGCCAGGCCGGGCTCCTTTCAAGTTTTTGGACGTCTCCCGCCTTAAGCTCGCGGGGCGCGGGATTTGGGATCCCATGCCTCATCTTCCACCTGAGCTATGCATGGCGTTCCTCGAGCCCCGCTGCTTGGCTCACGGCCAGCCTCCTCCTGATGATTTCGTGCCGGTCTGGGTGCGCGAGTCCTCTGCTGAAACAGCTCGGCTTGCCCGGCTCTGGGATGACCTCGGTCTTCTCCGCCTTGCCCCTGCCAACCTTCCTGCTTCTGAAGCTTTCGCTTGGCTCGGGCTTTTACTTGCTACAAGGGGCCAGACAAAGACCGCATGATCATTGACCGACGCGGCCAAAATTGGGCCGAGGCTCGCTTACCAGGCCCCAGCCTCTACATTCCGGTTGGCCCGATGCTTGGGATGCTAGAGGTCGACCCAAGGCGCCAACGCATCCGCTGCGCCGCGACCGACCGGAAAGACTTTTATCATCAGATTCGGGCCCCAGATTGCAAGAGCATCACCAATGCTTTGGGACCGGCGCTTCCAGCCCAGGCCGTTCGTGGTACAAAGGCTTTCCGAGAGCTTCTGTCAGGCCTTCCTTTGGGCAACTTTGGGGGCCCTCCCCGCCGTTCTGGCGACGCGCCTGGGGAATTGCTCTTATTCGAGCCCGACCACTATCTCGTGTGTTTTGGTGCCATTGCCCAGGGCGACCATCTTGGTGTCGAGCTCGGCTGTGCTGCCCACAGCTCGCTCTTGGAAGCAGCAGGCTTCCTGTCTCCCGACGACAGGCTGTGTTCGAACAAGCCCTTCAAAGGCAGTTTTGGGGCACAGGGGTTGGTTATAGATGACTACTTTTCTGTTAGCATTTCGGATGCTAGGGACCCCGGCCCTCCTGGCCGTCGCAAGGCAGACGTACCTCGAGGAAGGGCTTTTGGGCTCCGACGATAAGGATATTCTGGGGGAGCCTCTTGCGTGCATAGCCGGTGCTGAGGTTAATGGTTCGCATGCTGCCCTCTAGGGATCTTTGCACCGTTGCCTGCCCAGCGGCCAAACGGGTCGCCCTTGCTGCCATTTCTCTTGAGGCCGCCCGTTTTGGTCAGACATCTGATGCCCTCCTTCTTTCGGTCATTGGAAGCTGGACTTCTTGTGCACTGTTCCGGCGGCCTCTGATGTCCGTCTTCTCTGCAGTGTACTCTGTCTGTTCTGCCTCCACCGTCCGTTCGGGCTCCCCCACGGTCTGTTCCTTGCCTCGCTCTGCGGCCGAAGAGCTTGTCATTGTCAGCCTGCTTTCTCCTCTTGCTTCGTGCGACCTCTCTGCCTCCTTTGGCCAGCACCTTTTCGCAACTGATGCGTCGGAGGCAAAGGGCGGCTATGTTGTTGCCGATGCCAGCCAGGACCTCTTGCGCGCGCTCTGGCGGACAGCCTCCAGGAAAGGGGGCTACAGCAGGCTTTTCTCGAAGGAGGAGGCCGTCTTGGCGAGGTTTTCTGATCGGGAGGCCATCGACCTCAGGATGCTTCCTTCTTCTGCGCTTGACTCAGGCGGCGCTGGGGCCGGCACTTCTTCGTCTCCTAGCCGCCCTCTGGCTTTCCACTTCGACGTTCTTGAGGTTGGCTGCTCCGAGCTCCTTGGGCCAGGTCTCTGAGTGCCTCGCCTCTTTCGGCCGGGTCCTGCCTTTAGCCTCCTGGACTTGCGTGTTGTCGAGTGGATTGTGCACCTCCTTCGCCATCACCGTGTCAAGTGCATCGTGCTCTGCCCCCCCGTGCTTTTCCCTCGCCGTCGGGGCTGGACTTGCCCGCTTCCCCGACAGGTGGAGGTCCTCCGCACCCCCCTGTTTCGTGAAGCGTCTGCGTGCCGCTCACCGGTGCCTCTTCTTACTTCGTGCAGCCGCTTCGCACGGCACCTTGGCTGTCCTGGTTCACACTGGCCCGAGTGACTTCACTTCCTCTCAATTTTGGCATCGTTCTGTGCGTGCGGGCGTCTCTTCCTATGACGTCCCTTTTTGTGCCTTCGGCGGCCCATGCCGCAAGGATTGCAAGTTCCTTGTTTTTGGCATCGATTTAGCCCCTCTTGCTGTGCCTCGGTGTGGTGGTTGTTCTGGCAACAGCGGCCATTGGCATGCCTCCTCGGGGCTCCCTTTTCTCCTAGCCAGAGCCCTTGCCTCTGAGATCGATCTTGCACTGCGTCGTGTTGCTCGTGTTCGCTCCTGCCTGGACCTCTCTACAGAGGGGCTTGAAAATGTCACTGTCAATGACATCGTGTTGTCCTCTCGTTGGCGCCCGGGTGATGATTGGTGTTGGCGGGCCACAGCCCACATCAATATCCTCGAAACTGCCTCGATTTATCGGCTGCTCCGGTCCTTGGCTCCGCTTGGCCCGATGCGTCTGGTGATCTTGGTTGACTCCTCGGTCGCCTTCCATGCCTGTGCTAAGGGGCGCAGCCCCTCTCGGGGGTTTGAGCCCTCCGAGCGATGTTTTTGGCTTTACCTCAGCACTGACCAGCTCTACGAGGCTCTGGCGCAACCCAGGCTGAAGCGTTGGGTCTCCAATTGGGCACGTTTGGTCCTCCTGGCTTCGGGCCTGCCTCCTGCCTTCAGTCCTGACCTTGGCTGGGGCACTCTGCGCCAAGTCTCGACCTTACTCGGCATCAACCTTTCGGAGCCGTTTTGATGCCATCGTGAACAGGCTGGGGGTCAATTCCTGGACAGGCCAAGCCGGCCGGAAGCTGGATTTGGGCTCGCTGCGAGCCGGTGGCGCCACCTGGCTCCTCCATACGACTGAAGACTCGGAGCTGGTAAGACGGAGAGGCCGTTGGCTGAACAGCAGGACGATGGAGATCTATATCCAGGAGATTTCTTCATTGCAGTTCCTGCACCTTTTGCAGCCGGCTGCCCGTGCCAAGGTCTTCACGCTTTTGGACAACTTTTCTTTTATCTTGCTCGTGGCCGAGCAACTCCAGGCTTCTGCGACGCCGACCAGTGTCTGGTTCTATCGTTTTGCCAGTGGCTAAGTCTTCGGGCTGTGATGGGTGGAACTTGTGGTTGGAGGCTAAAACAGCTGGATATGGCAAGCTTTGCTTACTGGGACACTTGCGAACGCAGTGCAGGAAAAGGTGCGTCAGCCCTCAAAGCATGAAGCGACTTTGAGCACCTGCTGCATAGGTGCGAACAGGAGCACAATGCCTGCTCAAGCATCCCGCCACACCACTCCCTCCGCCACTGGCTAAAACAGCTGGATATGGCAAGCTTTGCTTACTGGGACACTTGCGAACGCAGTGCAGGAAAAGGTGCGTCAGCCCTCGAAGCATGAAGCGACTTTGAGCACCTGATCAATCTCACTCCCGGCAACTGTGCAAGTCGGCGGTATCCGAAGCCCCACGAGTACCGAGTACCCGCTGCACGTGTCTTCAGACTTGGGACTTGTTTGAGCCGCATACATCAACTGTGGATAACCCGAAGGTGCCGGCACCCGCTCTTCAGTTTGCACGACACTGGTCGCGCCTGGCAGTCGCCACCATAGAGACCGGACTCGTTCCCCTGCTTCTCACTGCCGCAGAAGGCGGGAAGTTCTGCTGGAGAGAGCTTGAGTTCAGTGTGAGCCGATGCCAGGCGCTGTGTGCGAAACAAAATTGCTGTTATCGGCATTTTTGGGAAGATTGCTGAATGCGGCCTTGCAGGACCTGGCTTAGCCGAAGCTTGGTGCCTCACAAATGAAAAGATGTGGGCCAATGTGTGCACTGAGGATCCAGGGATCCACGAAGGGGCCGAAGAATTACTGCAGGCCTTCAGTTTAACACACATCCACTCTGAAGCCATGGTGCACGTTCTGTTACGCTAAGGCATGCCATGTCGCTGCAGCTCATCTCCGTGATGTGTTGAACCACGTCTGCCATGCGAACAGGCATTCCCGCAATACTCACTTGCATTTGCTGCCACTGCTGCACCCGCGTCAAAGAGCAAGAAGAATCGCGTTCCACGGACGGGGTGTTTGGTTTATTTATTCCACCAGCATTGCCACGCCTGCTAGCAAGGCTGGTCGACAGGTGGGGGGATGATGGTTGTGACGGCATGAAAGAAGAGTCATGAGATGGGTCAGGAGTGCCGAGTTGTCTACAAAGCAATGCTGCTCCTGCTAAGCAAACTCCGAACGTGCCGCATCCACCGGCGGATGCATCAGATCCAGCAACAGGGACAGGGACAGAGAAGACTGAGTGCGCACTTCGCCTTCTCAAAGACCGTCCCCTTCAACAGAGACATAGCATGAGTTCTCCCGCCTGATCTTATGAGGTGCTCACCCGAACAAGCACATGACTGGCAAGAGCCAAGAACTTGTGCCTCCTTGTCAGCGTAATTAGTGTTTTTGTGGCCCGGATTTCGTGCCTGTTGTCGAAGATCTCATCCCCATGTCGCCATCACATGGCATGCTGCCAACTGTCGAAGAGATCGTCCATAGCAAGTTATCGTGTTGGACAATCTTGGAGCATACGTTCGCGGCGTGTGTGATGTGTTGGGTTGCGCTTCGGTGCCACGATTCTCGTGACATCTGTTGGTCCTGTTGTTTTTGCATTTTTCAGTGTCGTGACAGGTACAGTGTCACCGCAACCTTTAACTTAAGCGTTGTGCTGCAGCAGTGCATGATGTCATTGCATGCTGCATGCTGAATGCGACTGTCGTTTTGGCATGCATATGGCTCAAGTCAACCGTGTGCTGTGAGAAGTGGAGAGTCTTTCATTTCCGGCTCTGTGTAGCAGCTTATGAATCGTGCGTCGAGTCGATTCGAGTCGCAATTAATGCACAGGCTTCTACCTAGCTTTTGCCAGCTTTGCAGTAAACTTCTTGCAATGCCGTCCGGGCGATATGTGGTACATGGTTCCTATCTCCTCCGTGCTCTGGAGGAACGGGCCTGTCACATCCAGAGTCTTTTTGCTTCGTGTTGTCCGCCTCGGTCGCAATCAACCACGGCACTTTAGGAGAATGATGGGCCAGGAGGGGCGGACCGGGGGGGGGGGGGGGCGGGGCGGGCTTGCGGACAACAAGTCAATGGGTTTTGGAGGGGGAAGCGAGAGGGAAGAACCAGTACGCCGGCCGACATTTGCCGGACGTGTGGCAAAGGAGTTCGGACGGCAGCCCACTGCCTTTCGAAAGCGTGTCAGGCTGGCCAGGCACAGGGATTGTTTGCAGAGGCGAAACAAGTAAAGCTTGGAAGGACTGCACAACGGCTGCACCGTGCGACAAGCGTCCAGTGTCAGCTGTCAGCCACGCCAGCCGCTACACCGCCAAATCTGATGCCATGCCGTAAACACCCTGAAAAGATGCACGACATGACCGATGCACACCGGTGCGCTTGGACGCTGCAGGACCTCAGTGGCGAGAACCATGGCCAGATTGCACAAGACATGCTGGGGAAGGCGGCGCACTTGTCTTAGCCGCCCCTGTTCATGCATGCATGAGTTTCCTTTCCAAGCTCTAGTGGATGAAACATACCACCGGGAGGTATTTCGAAGACTAGATGCATCTTGGACAGACGAGCACACGCAGCTAATGCTTGACGCGGCTGGTCTGGCAGGTGCGGTGAACTTCTAGCTTCACGGTAGAACACGACAATCATTCCTGGACTGCTGGGAGGTGCACACATAGACTGCTGCGACCTTCTGTCGTGGCTTTTCGGGCCTGAGAAGAGCGCCAGAGCCGCAGGAAGTGGAGCATGAAGACAGTGAAGAGGTTGAGGAAGTACATGTTCATGCAGGTGAGGAGGAAGATGAAGGGATCAGAGCATGTGACGAAACTTCACGAATTATGCTAACAAACCCAGGGGCTTCCGAACTGCTTGCGTGCCGAGGCATCAATTTACATCCTGTCAAGAACCGGTCACCCTTGCAGAGGGCAGCCTTTCTTGCCGAGCAATGGGAATCTTGGCGACTGGTTAATTGAGGGCATTATCAAGTGCGTTGCACTTAGAGCCCTCCTCAGAGAATGTCCGCCTGGAGGAACCGTTCTTGGCTGTTGTGCGTGGGCATCTCCACAGCACCATTGCTCGTGCCTTCGGCGAAGATCATAAACTGAAGTGTTGAAGTGTTTTTGGGCGTTTCATCTTGACCTATGATCCATGGAGAGATCTGTTGCTTGCCGGCTTGCGACAGGTGCTAAAGCCGGGTTCTCGCTTCATGAGATCATGCCTTCGCATGAAACACTCGGCTTGCTGACGGAACGCTGCCAAGCATTAACAGAAGCTTGGCACGGGCGCGTTCCTTGCTTCACATTAGCCTTCCGAGCTTGAGTCTTCAAATTCGAGACAGTCTCGGCAGGAGATCCCGACCCTTTCCAGCTGTTGAGGCAAACATTGGCATGCTGTACGAGCTGTTCATGGACATGGCCGAGCACGACGGCTGCTTATTTGTACTCGCACGAGGTCGTGGGTTTTGTCCGTATCGGAGTCCGACAGAATCTCGTGTCGAAACCTTCTCCGTATCAGTGGCTGGTCGCCCTGCTCAGATCGGCTTCCTTCTAAACAAGTTCCCCGGACTGTCATGCTCGATAGCGGAAACCGAGGACACAGTCCATACCTTTTCCGTGACATCCCCCAGCACCTGGGGCCGCACTGGCGACTCAGGTGATGGCACTATGCGACTCAGAAGAGTAGACTAGGAGACGTCAGGATGGAAGCTATGTGTAAGACGGTCAATCAGAGCTAAGTCTGTTCGAGGATTCGGAGCTGACAGCACCGGGCAAACTAATTTTGCAAGTACTACGGGTCGCTCTGTGATACTAAGCAGCCAATCTAAGCTGAGAAGGCAACCTTGAGCCAACTATGGGTGCAGTGCTCCTGGTTTTGCCGGCATTGTAGACTTTGGCTTCTCAAACTCTCAGGTCCAGGTCGGTGGATGGCTACGTGCGGCTGCTCGATGGCCAGGCACGAACATCAATAGGACAAGTCATGCTGATGCGAAGAACAGTAAAGCCCAACGTTGGTGCAATCCTTGAAAGTTTGCAGAACGAACTGCATCTAAGAAAGGGTCACTCGCCCGGTAGCTGTGCGAGTCAAAAACCACAGCCTCTGGCAGGCGCGACAGCAACTTTACCGAAGTGGTTCGAAAAGAATGGGGCTTTCGGAAGCGGCTGCCGAGCCCATCCCTCTAGTGGGGAGGCCTTTCCGGGTCGGTTGCCTGTGAGTGCCGATGAAGCCCGGACCAGACACTTGTTTATTGTGCAGGATTCAGCAGACAGCTGGGGAATCTCCAATCGACAATCTGCAACTGCCCAACCTGATGAATCGGAATGAAGCACTGCTTCTGACGACTGGCCATCGAAGCCCGGATAAACTTGATCGGCCGTTTCGATATAGGCTTGCAGACTAGCAGAAGCCGTGCACTTGCCTGTGCCAACAGCCACGAGGCATCCAACAGTTTCTAGTACGTGTGCTGCGCTGGAAGCAGCAGCGGATCCTTAAGACGCTGTTTCCGGATTCGGATGCCGTGGCAGATGTCAGCGCAGCTTGCCTCTTGAATCTAGTGACTAGTTGAGCCGCAGATGCAGCAAGGTGCGACGGATCTCCAAAATCTTGATGCCGAGGTAGTAAAGGCTAAAGCTTGGGATCTGGAACTCGGTGCCTGGACAAGCAGCATTGTAAGCATACCAAGTGTGTTAAGAAGCCTGGAAGTCAAGGTGAGGAGGAGCCGTCATTGGCGCTCTTAATGCTGGTTCGGCATGGTTGCCTGGTGGAGTCCTATGGGCAGGCGTATGTTGGACTTCAATGCTAGAGAAGCTTCGTGGTATTTTTCTGAAGCAGGTGCCTCACGACACCCGGCATGCTGCGGAGAAGTTCATCGCAGTTCCTTGCCAGTGTGATTGGCTTGGCGTGCTAGGGTCTCATCGTTCAGCAAGTTTCGACCTGATCCGGGGCTCGGGGGAAGTCTGGAGTCTGCTCGGCGGAGCAGTGCCAGGAAAGCCTGTCGAAGATTCATGCGGAACGTGATGAAGAACTTCATAATTTTCTCGAGCATGCATCCAAGCACCCAGGACGTTAGCGGTTTGTGCAAGCTTGTAGCTGATGCGTTTGCTGGGCACACGTGGCCAGGACGACCCTTCAAGGCCGCTGCTCCGGGTTTTTGCAGGTTTTAGGAGACTTGTAGAAGAGTGCGCTCCCATTGCCGCCCCTTCATGCAAGGCCAGCCAAGTCGAGCACAAGGCCATGCTCCTGCGTTCGATGGCGAGTCGATCTGTTCGCTTGGTGTGGCGGTCTGTGGTCGAAAGCTTTTGCCAGCATCGATATCTCACCGCGGCTCGGTGCAGACCAGAGTGAGGGTGGACAACAGGCATAGCTGAGCCTCGCAAGCGTGTATGTGTATATGGATGTCTGTATGTGTGTGTGTGTGTGTGCCTAGATCGCTTGGACACGACGGGCGCCTCTTTTCTATTTGCCGGATGCGGGGGAAGAGTTTGAGGTACTGCGTGCGCCAGGCGCGAGAGCACACTTCAGCTTTGTCAAAGCTCGAGATCCCAAGTGTTTCCCTGAAGGTTCCGAGGAACTCACACGCTTTCGAAAGAACGTTTTTGCTTACGGTCCCTCGCATGCTTTGGGCCAGAGCGGTGGAGGCCAGAAGCTCAATAGTTGAGCTCAGACACTGTGCCGGGTGCGGTGCCAGCCAGGCTGGATTGATGGGCAGCGCTGGCAACCTGGATCCCTGATGTACGAGCTGGGCCCACTCCTGTGTGACTTGGCTTCTACTGTTGCTGGAGGTTCGCTTCTTCCTGTATCAGCCTGCAGCTGCTTCGGCTGCTTCTGTATGTCTACAAGGGGTCCTGCATACTCGTATTCTCGTTGGTGCAACAGCCCTGGCTCACGAATTGTGCTCAGGTCTGAGTTTGTTTGGCCGTGGGTAGTGTTGACACACTGGTTTCAGAAAAAAATACCGTCATTGTGACCGAACGTGTTGTGAAGCCAGCCATGCGCTGAAAGACTGCAGGGGAAAAGCACTTTTCTTTCTAGATTGAGAATTCTCGAGGTGTTGACGAAGACGCAAAACTCCCGAACCACTACCTGACCGACATTGTCCTCGGCTCAGTTCGTGCTTCAAGGTTTTGAGCATGTCACTTTGCTTTTGCATTTGGAGCATCGCGAGAAGCGCAAGCGCCAGAGCTCCCCATGAAAATGCTTGGAGTCTCTGCTCTGGGGAATTTGAAGGAGAAGATCATTCGTGACTGTATGGCGCTGTGCCCAGACGGAGGCATCTCCGACGCTCTGCCAGGCCCGGGTGCTCGTCGTCGTTGTCGTTGCTCGTCGGTGCTCCAAACGCAGCTGCGCTTTTGTGCGCGCTTTGCCAGGCGAGGCGATGCACGACACAGGACAAAACCCCGTCGTCGCGTCTTCCATCGGACAGACGCAGCACACTCAAGTGTCCAAGGTGGCGCATCTTACCAGTTTACCAGATTGCCTGCGCTGAATGGTCGACAGCAGCATGCCAAGTAAGTGCCGCAGAATCGTGTGGTGGAAGGCTTCAGCAGAGGAATTCCCCCTGGTGATGGAGAAAAGCTCGCCGCGGTGGTGCCCGAAGATGGATGCCTTCATTGACATCGTCCAGGCAGAGAAGCCGCAATAGCAGAGATCTGAGAGTGCAATGCCTTTTGGTGCCTCGAGCCTCCCGATTTGCAGGTTGGCACACACGAGGATGCTTTCTTTGTCAGCGGACGCAGCAGGCAACGAACGGTAACAAGAGATTTCGTTTGTTGGCATTGAGATCGGCTTGCAGGCAGCCGGACACGCAGCGCTTTCTGGAGTTCTTTGTGGAACTGCGGTGTCGGTTGCTGCGCGCTTTTGGGAGAAGCATTGACTTCACCTGCAGCTGCCATGCGACGGCCACTCAGATGAAGTTACAGAGCAGACCTCATGAGCCCACTGCTTGGTTTGAGCTGCTGGAAGTGTAGTGGGCATGCCTTTGGAGGAAGACGGGGATTTCGTCTTTATCCTTGCGCCAGTGGCCCGCATGCAGAAGGTTCGTGTTCCCAAAGGTCAGGGCTGCTTGGGCCGGGCCCTTATTGCCAGGCCAGAGAGTCAAGTAGCCCTTCCGTGCGTTGGCGCCACGGCACACACGGCACCCAGCATCGCTCTGCATCGAGGCCTGGACTTTGACTTTGAAAACCCAGACCTTGGTGAACGCGTAACTCAGCACAGAGACCTGCCCATCGCGACCGTTGATGCCTCCCAAGGGAAAGGACACAGTTTGCAGTTTCGATTGTTGCAGCGAGGCGACTCGAAGAAGCGTTAAGATGCCAGGAAACTTCCTCGTCAATACTCGGGAGCACTGGAAAATGGCACTCGAGGGGCGTCCAATCCTGGTCCGCCTGCCACTTCGACTGAAGAGATGCATTCCTTGCACGTGAGCCTTTTTATCCTTTAGCCGCAGCTTTGTGAAGCTCAGGTATGACTTCAATCGCAAGCCGGGTGCACGCCTGATAGCACAGCAGATGGTTGATGATTTATTCGGACGGCCATAGCCAGGCCAAGCCACGCAGTCATGGCCGTTTCGGTGACGAGCCCTAAGGGACCACCATTCGACTTGCTGTGATACTCTGATGTGTAGTAGCATCACGCAGATCATGGTTAAGTAGGTGCAGTTGCAGATGTCGCAGACTTCCAGAAGATTGAACAGGACCTTCAACACTCCGCAAGCAATTTTCCGTGGCCGGAGTTTCGTGGACCGTTCGGGTCAGGTGTGAGACTCCTTGCCCGATGTCAGCCCAAGTCTAGCTTGTGCTGAGACGTGCCGCCGTGCCACCTTAACTGGCCGTGGGCTTGATAGGACCGGTGTGCGCAGGTGCTCCAAGTCAAGGAACTTGTAATTGTAAGCACGGCATGAGGCGCTGAGGCAGCGAGTGCATGGGACGTTCTTGATGATATCCCCGTGAGCGCAGGCACATACTGGATAGCTTAGCTTGTTGACTGCTATGTGATGCACCTCAAAGGAGGGCATCGCGAGTTTCAGTATTTTCGAAGTTGTCGTCGGACTGCCCATATATTATTGCCGGATGCAGTGCATGCTTGACTCCACCGTGCCGATTCTTCCCACGCAGTGCCAAAGCCTGGCCTCCAATTGGCTACATGCGGCAATCCGGCCTGCATGCCTGCGTTAGCTGCGTCGGACCGCACACTGGTCACGCTTCAGCGATATCCCCGTATTCGCCAAGTTTGGTACAGTGCCGTACTGCGGAGCAGTGCAATCAAGGCATTTTCTCAAGATTCGACGTGCTGGGTGCCACTCACGACTAGTTCTCCGTAGCCGGCAGACGAAAAAACTGACAATTGCATGTGAGCGGATGACGATGGTCGCTGGGGCGGCTAAAGCTTTGCAAGGCTCTGGAAGATTTTGTGCGACATTTTGCTGGAGATTGGGTGCTCCGGCAGAATGTGGGAGATTATCTCTGCCATCCTCGCCGCTCTCTTTCCTCAGGCTTGTGCGTAGCTTCCTGCGTGACTGCCGGCCCCCCAGACTCAGAAGGCAGAATCGAAGCCCAGGGTTGACTTGCTCGAAAGGCTCGGAACTGGCGCTGGCCACGCCCGGCCAAAACGTGGCTGCTTTCTTGCAAACGGCAGCTCTGCAGGAGGACAGGAGCTGCTCTCGCTACATTGGGAACCCCGTGAGTTAGCAGCATGTTTTTTGGGGGTTGTGCTGAACCAAGGCGACCACCTTTGCAGCACAGACTGCTAGGCTGTGCGATCGGCAGACCCTCCCTGGCACATGCACACTTGGGGCTGTAGGAGGAGTGTGCATGTAGCAAGGATTTTGAACGTCTCAGATGCCAACCTCGCGGGCCCTGGCGATGAACAGACCCTTTTGCATCGGCTTTCAGTAATAGCGTTTGACAGCACAACGACGACGACGACGACGGGATTTGGCTGGCTGGCTGTCTGCATGTCGGCTGCAGTGTGTGTTTGGGTATTGCTGTCCTGCCACGTGCAGGAGATGGACCTAGCTGCCATGCCGGTGCTCTGCTGCATCGCGGCCAACGCGCACCTGGTACCCTCACAGGCTGGCAGAACAGGGCGAACGTGCCTACACTCCCAAGTCTTTCTCACACAGGTCGCCGAGTTCACGAGGCGCGTGCTGGAGCTTGATGACAAGGCTTGTGATTTGGCCTGAAGCCTGAAGCGTCGACTCATTGGGTGCACCAGGGTACTTGCTCTGTTTTGACATGCAGGAGCGGTGCATCGTGGTCCGGGAGCTTGACGGATGGAGGGGGCCAGTGGTATCGGATACGAAGGCCAGTCGAACTGACAGTTCTTATTGTCGTCTCTCGTTTGCCTGTGGTAGGGGTTGGCAATGTGGCGCACTTTCGTATCTGGGTGTGCCAGCTCTGCTCTGCGTGGGTGGAGCTTGAGCGCTCACGTCTCAGCAACAACAGCAGCAATAGCCGAACCGACACAGACTGCGGCTCCGCACTTCGTCAGTGGTCAGGTCGAGGCATGCTTTTGATTGGTGGAAAATCGCGATTGTCACATCAGCAGTTGTGGCCTCTCGGTGGAGCTCCCCCGCTTTCGAAGGCATCGCTTGTGCTTTTTCCGGCAAGCCAATAAGCGGAAGCAAGGCCCCAAGCGTGGATGCGACGATAAGCTAGGCAGCTTAAGAGACAGTGCTAGAGACTGGAGCACATGCTTGCAAATGCAGGCTGCGTGGTTGGCGCTGCTGCGTGCAGTACCGGCACCTCCAGTGGGAGATGCACCTCCAGCTCCACCACCCACGCCGCTGCAGATGCCTCAGCGGCGGGTTCTGGCCATGGGTGGTCTGGAGGCCTCGGTTGCGCGCAAAATTTTCGGTCATTGTGGCTCTGGGGTTCTCGATGAGGGTAGCAGGCCGGCAAGGCATGAGGCTAGTCGGAGATCTCGGACATGATGCATTGAACAGAACGCCCGTTGTGCTCATGCATGTTGGGATCGTGGTCGTACTGTGCTTTGTGTCATGCATGGTCGACTGCCTTGCCTCGTCATTGTGCGATCCGAATGACATCTTCACAACAAGTGTGTGTCTGCCTTTGCTAAAGCTGTTGCTGTTTCTTCCGTGGTGCAAAAAGAGGAGCTTTTCGTGGAAGCGCCGGTGAATATGTGTCTCGGCTCGGAAGGTGTCCAGACACTGTAATGGACCGCAGGTCAGCCGGGATGCTAAACCGAGAGCAGCATTGCCTGAGCCTGATTCCAGGTCCTGTGCATTGGATGGCCTCCTACTCACGGACCCTGTGATCTCTCCGCATGGACATGTCTTTGACCATGCCTCCCTGGCTGCTGCTCTGGCGCAGAAGCCTGGATGATCGATGATGGTCGCAAGTTGTACTCAACAGTTGAACCTCCGGATTCCGGCCGGCAGCGGCGGTTCTGAAAGCATCGACCTACTGTACATTGCAGACCTCAGGAATGGCGGGCTCTGCCCGTTCACGGGTAACCCCCTCAGAGTGGACATGTGCATACCAGATGCGGATCTACGCAGTCCGAGCCTTGTGCGAAGAGTGTTGCACCAAACCGTTTCCTGTTTCTTACTTTCGGTATCTTTCGGCGTCTGGAATGTCAAGGTTCCTGCTCCCGCCGCATCAAAAGCTGGGCTCGGGCCATGCTGCGGGGAACAGCCTCCAGATGCTGAGATCAAAATGCCAGCAAGTCGGGCAAGACATATGATGCTCGGAGCAAGAGAGAGCGAGAGAGAGAGAGAGAGAGAGAGAGAGAGAGAGAGATTCGGCGCAGAAACCTGGGCTGAGAATGTCTGAAAGCATTGTGGGCTCGTCCAGTAGCCCTGGCATGGCGCTATCATCCCATGTTATTGCCGTTGTGGGGTGAACTGTGCTTTCTCGGCCATGGAGGCTGGACAGCCACAGCCCCTGTCCAGTGCCTTTTAAGAAACAACCGCGGCAGGATGAGGCCGAAAGGCAACGACAGGGGGTGCTGTCCTGAGACCTTTCGCCTGCAAACGCCCTGTCCTTTGGATGGGGTTCGAGTCTTCGAGCTTCGACGTGCTTCGACGTCGAGGCAGCGTCCCTTCGCAAGTTCCTGCAGATGCAGCAGGAGCCCGGGGGAGCCCGGGGGCCCGGGCCCGGCGGGGCCCGGCGCGGGGGGCGGAGCGCAAAATGGCGGTGCGGAGCGCCAGGCCGCAGGGTTGGCGGTTCCTGGAATGGAGATGTTGGCCAGGGCCTTGCTGCCTTGTCAACGTAACCGCCTTCATTGTGCACTACAGAGCTGCTGCCGGTTTGATGTCCTGCGACCAGGTAGTGCCCAGAATTCGAGAGTTTCGGCAACATGCCTGTCTGTAGATATCTCTCCTGCTCCTATGGCCGCATCGAAGAGTGCTTCCTTGGCTCTCAAAGCCCTGGCACGGCAAGCGCTGCTCGTCTTCATTGGATGTGGGTGTTTCTGTCGGTCAAAGGCGACTTACTAAAGAAAAACGTAAGCAAGTAGTCAAGCACACAGCAATTAACCAACCCTCTCCCCACCTCTCCCTCTCCCTCTTCCTCCCCCAAACCCTTGTCACGTCCCCACGCTCGCCCTCACTCTCGCTGTCTGTGTCTCGGTGTCTCTATGTCTCTGTGTCTCTGTCTCTCTGTCTCTCTGTGTCTCTGTGTCTCTGTGTCTTTGTGTCTCTGTCTCTCTGTCTCGCTGTCTCTCTGTCTCTCTGTCTCAGGTTCCATCTCTGTCTCTGTCTGTGGCCTCCCTCCCTAATCCCTCCCTCCCTCCATCCCTCCATCGCTCCATCCCTCCATCGCTCCATCCCTCCAGCCCTTGCTCCCTCTTTCTGTCTCTGCCTCTGTCTCGAACGGTCTCTGTCTCTGTCCCTTTTCCTTTCCCTTTCTCTTTCTGTTTCACGGTCTCTGTCTGAGTCTCTTACTCTATCTCTATCTCTATGTCTATCTCTGTCTCTCTGTTTCTCTGTGCAGGTGCACATGCACGCGCACACATCTACCAAGCTATCTGTCTATGAATCTGCATTATCTACCTATCTAGCAGCTACTAGCTATCAGCTACAGTATCTCTCTATCTATCTAGCTATCTATCTTTCTGTTCATCTATCTATTTATCGGTCTGTCTGTCTGTGTATCTATCTGTACAGGTGCGTACATATTGGTGTACATCATAAAGTTAGCATATATATATATATATATATATATATATATGGTACCCCCCCCCATGTACCCATGCCTTTCCTCTAAATCCCAGTTTTCGGAAGGCGTGGGTCCGCGGGATCCTTGGGGGCAGTGCCTGCAGATTGTACTTTACTATTTCATGTCATTGGCGGGTTCACTCCAAAATAGCCCCGAATCATCCGAATCATTTTGATTCGGTCCCGGCGCTGGATCCAAGATCCAAGATTGCCCAGAGGTCTTGCGCGGGCAATCTTGGATCCGACCCTCATCCGAATCATCCGATTCATTTCCGAATCATTTTGATTCGGGCCCGGGCCCGGATCCAAGATTCAAGATTCAAGATTGCCCAGGGGTCTTGCCAAGGAATCTTGGATCCGACCCTTCATCCGAATCATTCGAATCATTTCCGAATCATTTTGATTCGGTCTCGGCGCTGGATCCAAGATCCAAGATTCAAGATTGCCCAGGGGTCTTGCCTGGGCATCTTGGATCCGACACTCACCCATTGGATCCAAGATTCCTTGGCAAGACCCCTGGGCAATCTTGAATCTTGGATCTTGGATCCGGGCCCGCGCCCGAATCAAAGTGATTCGGAAATGATTCGGATGATTCGGATGAAGGGTCGGATCCAAGATTCCTTGGCAAGACCCCTGGGCAATCTTGAATCTTGGATCCGGGCCCGAATCAAAATGATTCGGAAATGATTCGGATGATTCGGTTATGGTAGTTATAACATCTCGTTTGTCATGAAGTATGCCAGTCATTATGCAGTCAATACTGTGTTGGTTGCTTCAGGAGATGTAAGTCCAGCACGATTCTGAGTATCGTTTCTATCATTTACACGTTAACGTAATCCTCCATGATCTAGCCCATTGTGCAGTAATCTGTTCAATCAACTTCATCGTCATTGCAGTGATCCTACCGTCCACACCAAAATGAACATCTTATGTTCCAGACTTATTTCCCGGCTCCCCTTCGCCTTCTATTGTCATGTTGGTTATATGCAACGTCTGGTCTTTTGTGAAGTATGCCAGTCATTTACGTTACCATACCGCTGTGACTGCCGTGATTCATTCCGTCATTTCTGTTTTACTGTTTGGACATGTAGACAAGCACAGCAATTCCATTCCAGCGGCGTCGTACAACTAGGAAAACTGAAGTTCATATTGATAGAACTGTTAATGCGCTTTTGACATGTGCAAAAATGTTGATGAAATTTACTCGGCCTAACCACTAGTTTTATAGTTTGACGGATTGGCCGGATTCATTTGTTGGGCACACATGTGACATATGTGCTCTTGCGATGTGATTACATATGTTGCTGCATGTTTTGTGAACATCTTCATGAAATCAATCCTTTCATGCTGTACAAGACTAGGCATGAATCTCTGCCTGAAGACGGTACTGTTAGAAGACCACTTAATTTATCGTCTTCGTCCGTTTCCGTGTACGGAACTAGACGTATCGTCTACTCTTGTCTAGGACGGAAGCCTTGAGTCAGGGAAATTTAGTGTTATATGGAACATGTATTGGCATCGCTTACACTTCTCTAAAGGTACATGTATAACGTGTGTTTGCTTCATGCTTGGATGGGTTGTCTCTAGGTGGTGCACCTTCACGTTTGTACGTCTTTAACTGGTGCTTACAGTAAAGAGCACTACCCAGTACAGTCACCGCAAAACTCTGACATACAGGAGTCTTTATTGGTCATCATGCATTAGGTGCGAAACATGTAAACGACTTTGTAAGAACACACAAGCTCCAGCTCGATAGGATGGACATGATTCAGATGATGCATAGGCTAAAGATTACCAAGCTCAGAATAAACATGTAAACCTTACAGTTCATATCAATACAAGACAGCGACAACAACAAATTTATCTAGTCAGTATCAATAACAATATAGCTTAACATTTACTTTTACAGGTCGGGCTAGTATGAAGCAGGGTGAACAGCAGCCACGGGACTAGCGTACCTAGGAAAGTTTGTTTTTCAGACATACCAATACAGGGGGAAATAAAGAGTGTTAGCTGGGTTACGTAGCTAGGAAAGTTTTTATTCAGACATAGTAAGACAGGTGGAAATAAAGAGTGATAGTTGGGTTGGTATTTCTGAAGCAATCAGAACGGTGGGTATAACCATAGTAGTAAAGACACTGGTCACAGGAAGAGCATCATTGGTAAATGTAACAGTGAAACTACTGCTGGCATAGAAGAAAATATGTGTACTTTCGTGTACTTTGCATACAACCAAGAACAGTGGAGATTGGAAAGGTTTGTATTGCCACGACGACGATCCCGCACAATTCAAGCGCAAAGCGTGGGTACATGAGGGGGGGGGGGGGGGTAGCAATATATATATATATATATATATACATATTTGTTATATGCGTGTGTGTCTGTTTTCACATTGTATATATATATATATATATATACACATACATATATGCGTATATACACACACACACATTCACTTTTTGTACAGTTGTGTCAGATTGCGAGCTAAGTAGATAGATAGATGGAGAGGTAGAAAGAGAGATAGATAAGGTGGCAAGTAGACAGATTCTTAGAGACATAGATAGGTGTATGACGACGTACATGCACATACTGTAACTTACATGTTGCGTGCTTTTTTGTTGCGTGGGGCGTAATGTCATATCCCAGTGTTCTTTTGTGGTGCGGAGTTGAATAAAATCTAGCAGAAGTTGGATAAGAGAGATGACATCAGAGGGGCCATTTCCTAACTCCATGGCCCAGATACACGTGCACACGGCTTGGTGGCCAAACCAGAATCAGCAGCACCTTGCTTCACGGCCTGTCAAGGCAACCCACGAAGACGGTGAAGCTGCTGACGAGCTTGCCTTTTGTCTCAATTATGTCCCGGAGCCCGAACCCGATAAGAAACACACCTGCGTATGTTCGCCGCTCAGACTGCGAGGCTGCGAGAACGGCTGGAAGTCAATGCCTTCCACCATGCCACTGTCTTGAGTGCCTATGCAAGGGCCGTCTGGTGGAAGGAGGCGGTCGTGGCTCGGCTTCAGGCGTGCTTGACAGGTCTCCCAAGATGGCGAGCTTCGAACCAAGGCGCTGCTGAGCTCATTGGAGGGCGGTGACCACGCCAGAGGCTGAGAAGGGACAAAGAGGGGAGGGGGACAAAGGGACGCGGTGACGCGGCGGGCCGGCGGGCTGTGGGCAGCGCTTTTTGGAGGTCTGTTTCAACGCGGCGCTCAGCGCTTGCAGCCGGGCCCTGGCCTGGGCGGCGCTGCTGCGGCTCCTGGAAAGGCGCAGGGGCCGCAGGGGAGAAGTCGACGACCTGCCCGGCAGCCCGGCTAAACGTCGTGTCTTCTTCTCTCTTCTAGATTCTAGTCTTTAAGCTCCGAGGCACCACAGCATGCAGAGTATCCTAACCAACAACTCTTCCGTCTTGCTGGCAAGGGGCGGCGAGGTTCGCTTCCAGCCCGTGCCACTAATCTCTTGGGGTGGAAGGCTTTGAGATGTAACACCAACTGGAGGGACTGATGGGAGCTCCAATGACCATTGAATGCTTTCTGACCTTGCGGAACTGCTATAAAACGTGTGCGACAGAGGGAGCTTGCCAAGTCACAGCACCCGGAGTTCTGGAGAAAAGATTAGTTGAGTATCTTTAGCACACCCACCACCTCTAAGAAACACAAAACAAACTAAAGGCCAAACTACAAACACTGGTTGTGCACAGGCAAAAGCTTTCACCAACAGGCAACTGTTGTATGTTGGAAGCCTCGCCGGTATTGCCCGAGAGATACCGTGACGACTGCCACGACTTCCACGACTACGACCGCGACTACCACGGCTACGATGACGGCAACGACGAGTACGACGACCACCACGATCACCACGACCACCACGACCACCACGACGACTAGTACTTCCACTGCGACTACCAGACCCCCACCAACACTTCTCCTGCTTTTCCGCTGCCTCCAGCTGACCCCATCACAAAAAGGGTGAACAACAAGCGGAAACAAATGTCTCCACCAGTCCTATCAAGCCTCTATTTTCTCTTTTCG